TCTAGACAAGACGCGATAAATCGATCCCAGAAGATCGATTGCTTACGGCCGGACCAGGAAGTAAGTGTAGACCTGCCCTAAGTTTGCTTTAACTGTGTTGCAGACTGCAGAAAAAATCAGGAAATAAATGAAGACTGGTTTGATGCTAAAGAGAACTTTACAGTGACTGATTTTTCAGTAACACTTCTAGGGAATGAAAAAGAACAAGAAAAGCTAGAGAAGGTCATTAGTACAACAGGTGAGTTGAGCACTCTAGTGGTTTAGGTAAGAATGGCATTAGTGTTGCTTTATTGAACATTGCTTGTCCTCTGAAGGATCAGCTGGATTTTCAAGTGCTACTTTTTCATATTTTTTTAGTACTATTCTCTTTCCTTGTTTGCGATGAGTTTCCTATAAATAATTGCTTCTAGCTTTTGTGTAAAATTTACCACTTTGGCCAAGGTTTTCAAATGTGTATGTCATCAAACACAAACCTGGAAATATTCCTCTTTAATTTTTTCTAATACTGACTTCTCCAGAGATAATTAGGACAGATTCACACTCTTGAGATTGTGCCCCTGTATGGGGGCATGGTTGGAACTACTCAAATTAAGTGTGATATAAAGCTTGTTGGTTCCATAAGAGATGGGGAGGCATGTTATACCCATAGGTGCTGTCTTCCTCTTTTCTTGGGGGGTGCCCGATCCCCCCCACCTTTGCCCCAGGCCCTGCCTGCACTCCATCACTTCCTCCAAGTCCCCACCTCACCTCTTCCCACCCCTGCTCCGCCCCAGTCCCCGCCTATCTCCACTCCTGCCCCCAAGCCTCCATCCCACCTCTTCCCGCTCCGTCCCGCCTCTTCCCTGCCTCTTTCCACCCCCTCCCCTGAGCATGCCATGTCCCCGCTCCTCCCCCTCCTCCCAGGGCCTCCTGCACGCTGTGGAACAGCTGATCGTGACAGGCAGGAGGTGCTGGGAGGGAGGGGAGGAGTTGATCAGCGGGGCCACCGGTAGCAAGGTGGGGAGCTTGGCTGCCAGCGGGTGCTAAGTACCCACTATTTTTTTTCTGTGGGCACTCCAGTCGGCACCTATGGTTACACCCCTCACGCAATGGAATGTGGGAACCCTTTAGTGTAGTACCTTTCTGATTGTGGTCAGTGAAGAACTTCCCGAGTCACTGCAACCAACTTTCTTGCTCTATAGCTCCATATTGTTGCCTCTCCACTACTTTATTCTTACAGAAAATATATTTTAATAGCACGTCAAACTTAATGTTCCCTATTTGATGCTTAGCATATTTTTTACAGCTCAAATTGGAGTCCCTGCATCAATGTCACCTGCATCAGTGCCCTTAGTATGTTCTTTCCTTTGGAAAGGACTGTGCATTCTCTGCTTCTGTGATTTCTGACTTTGAGCAATTAGGTGCTGAAGAAAGTATGTAAAGTCTCTCTTGGCTTTTTAGCATCTTCTTGTAAATCTAGTGAGAAGCCAGCCTGGAAGACTTTGAAAGTTTCAGCTTCAAGTGTTCCTGAGTGGCAGGTTCCAGTTGAATGTCAAGACCTGCATCTTACTGACATCACTGCCCAGCCATTTCAGTGTATGCCAGAAGTGGTTTGCAGAGGGGCACCTAGTGGACTGTACCCTGTTAGCTGAAACCAACAATAATCTCTGGGTTCCTGAGACCGAGTGGTAGCTGGAGGAGGAAAGGATCAGCTTGCTTCTGCCCCCCATAGCTGCTGCCACCCTTCCCCTTCTTGTCCTCCACCCTCATAGCTACCCACATGGGGCTCTGCTCCAGAGTAGGACCATCAGCACTTTAAGGGACTCTAGAACTGACATCACAGTCCCTTGATGTGGCGCTGCCCAGAATATGAGTGTTGTGCAGGTGCGTGCTGGGAAGGTGGAAGGAGTGTCCTTCCCCATTCTACTGTAGAGCACCAGTCTCTCCCCCACCTATCACTCAGCAGCAACAGCTGTCTCACAAGCCACAAAATTCCATCAGCAGCCTAAGCTTTTCATCTCACCCCATTAATGACACCAGCTCCCAGGACCCATTTTTTAAATCGATAACACTCACAAAAACCCTCCAAACCCTAAAAATGTTCTGTGGCCCAGTCCTATGCATGTTCAGTGGATCGCAGAATGTTGTGACTCAAAAAAGATTGAGACACTCTGATTTAACAGTATGGGTCTCAAAGCTGCATTTTGACACCATTGGAACATCTAGCTACACTTTATGCATAGTTGCTGAAGCACATCGAAACTTTGAGGACCTTAATTGCATACCTGGACAGTGTTTGATACAAGCTCCTCCTCTAGAAAGACGTTACGCCATCAGAGCTGTAAGCTTTTCCTGCGCAAGAGGGGATCACTAGAATCCCAATTTGTGACTAACTCTGACTTTGAGTCTTGGAAAGGAACCTATTGGTTAGAATTAAGAAAATTGGTTAGACAAATACAATTTCAAATTAAAACCTGTACTCTGTTTTTAGAATCAATTTACCAGATTTTGTAGAAGTAAATGAAAAAATGTTTCTCGTCTTCATGTTCTCCTTTACAAAATTTTAAATATGTATATTTCTATTAAGGCAACTATTTGAAAACAAATGCAATTTCACTCTTTTCCCTGTTGTATCATGAATAGGGCTCTACCAAATTCACGACCACGAAAAATACGTCATGGACCATGAACTCTGGTCTCCTGCCATGAAATCTGGTCTTTTGTGTGCTTTTACTCTATACTCTACAGTTTTCACTGGGGAGACCAGCGTTTCTCAAATTGGGGGTCCTGACACAAAAGGGATTTGGAGGGGGGTTGTGGTATTGCCACCTTTACTTCTGCGCTGCAGCCTTCAGAGCTGGGCAGCTGCAGCTGGAGAGTGGCGGCTGCTGACTGCGGGCCCCCGCTCTGCAGGCAGCAGTGCAGAAGTAAGAGTGGCAATACTATACTATGCCATCTTACTTCTGCACTGCTGCTGGCGGCGGCTCTGCCTTCAGAGCTGAGCTCCCGGCCAGCAGTAGCCGCTCTCCAGCCGCCCAGCTCTGCAGGCAGCACCGCCACCTGCAGCAGCGCAGAATTAAGGGTAGCAGTACCGCAACCCCCCTACAATAACCTTGTGACACTCCCACAACTCCTTTTTACAACACTGAAATTTCATATTGAAATAGATGAAATTATGAAACTTACAATTTTTAAAATCCTATGACCATGAAATTGACCAAAATGGACCATGAATTTGGTACTGCCCTAATCATGAAACACATTTTCTCCATTCAATCACTTCGATTTTTTTTAGCGATACCGTTTTCCTTTTACATATTTTCTCCTTTTTTTTTACAATTTATTGTAGATTGAATTGAATAAGGAATAGCACATTGATATTTTTTCTTGTATATTTCTATACTACCAGAAATAAAGATGGTGAAGAATACAAAAAGTGAGCCAAATAAGCATTATTTTATTCATGTTGGTGGCTTAAGTCCTTCAGTATCAGAGGTAAAATAGCCTTTCTTTAAATAATAATAATATTAATACCTTGTTTATTTAGTAAATTACTTTCGTGCTGTACTTTACATCCTAAATATGCTATCTGTTGTAGGTTGATCTAAGGTCTCATTTCCAGAAGTATCAGGTTTTGGAGGTTTCAATATGTGAGTTTTCTAGTAACTACAGGTACATTCATATTAATGTAAATTTTATTTGTATTACATTTGTTACTGACAAAATAAGTGGCACTTAGGAAAGTTTTTTTTTTTACTTTGTAAGTTACTTTAATGTCAGTGGAATTTTAATTAAATCAATGCATTTTCTACAGGTTATATTTTAGATGTTGACTGGCAGTGTCTGAGTTCCAGAAACAGTTGACATGTTACTGGAAAATAGCAATTATAAAATGTTGTCCTTGCTGGATTAAAATATTGTAGTTCAATTAAAAGCTGTAGCTAACATTTTAAAGTAGAGAGCTGCACCATAATCAGAAGCATTTGTAATTAATGGATTTGGTATCATCCACATATGGAAGCTGGTTAAATTGTATATTAAATTGTATTTTTTCTTAGTTCTTGCACATGTTTTTAAATTTTAGGTATGCATCTCTGAGTTTTAAAAAAGCTAGTAAAGCAAAATTGGCTGTGGACGAAATGAATGGGAAAGAAATAAAAGGAAAAGCAGTAAATGTTCGTCTTGTAAAAACTGCAGGAGAAAATATACTTCCAGCTTTTCAAAAAGTTTCCAGACCACTTCACTATGAAAACCAAGCCACTGATAATTTGGAAGAAAATATTCAAGTCAGAACTACCTGCTCTGTCCCGGACTCTTTGAAAGTGCCTTCCACCACCTCAACCTCTTTGAAAGTGCTTTCCCCTCCCTCAGTTTCTTCAGCAATGCCTGCCCCTACCCTGGCCTTTTCAAAAGTGCTCAGCTCTGATTTAAAACCACTTAGACATGAATCAGGACACCTTTTATTCTCAGTTGATCAACAGGTAAATTATTCTTCCTGGGACAGATTACGATGAGTTTTTAAAGTTAATTCTTACTTTGTACTTAGCATATTTTGCAGTAGTGTTGGCTGCTGCAAAGTGCTCAAAAATCAGTATTTGTGGCATATTGTAGAAGGGACATAGCTCTCCATCTTCTCCTGCCTAATGTTGACATCTCCACCTTTATTTCTTTAATGATGTAAGCTCATCAAGTAACTATACCTGTACATTTCACCGCTGGAATAACTATGGTTTTATTTTGTTTTTTCTTTTAGATTTAAAAGTTTTCACTTTTAATAAGTTTGTATAAGAGTAATGCATTGTGATTTATTAAGGTACAAGAAAGATTTTTGTTTGGCAGAAGAGCGGAAGGGGAAACTTCTGTTTAAATTGTATCCTAAATTATACAATGAATTCATTTTCAGATTTTCTTCGTCCACTGACTTTATCCAATAACAAGCTTTGTGGTTGTGATTATTTAAAAAAAAAAAAAACCCTGAAAACTTATTCTACTTTTATTTAATATGAAAATGACTGTTCCTAGGGTAACCTAGATTTTGCCTAATTTAACATGGTTACACATGAAAAAACATAAAAATGGTAACCAAAATAAGAATATTTTTAATTTTAAGATATATGCAGTAGTTACATTGTAACATGATCAGTTTTGATCCTGATATACATCTCTATAAATATTTTACTATTGAACTAAATCTGTAATTGCTCCAATAGTTTGAAAAATGGTACATAACAGAAGCGATAATCTTCTGTAAAATAGAATAAGCAATCCATACAATACTTAACACATTCTATGTTCAATTGTTTTAATTTGCATCTAGAGTACAAGAGAGAATCCTCTGCAAATAAAACCTGTTCAGTTCTCTCCTAATCCATCTGCTACCTTTATACCTCCTAACACATTGAACTTGAGCAGCTTTACCAAATTGATGAAGAAATTAGAAGAACTGCATCCCAAGGCTAGTAGGTAAGAATATCTGATTTTTCTCCACTGATTTATGAATCTAATATTCAAGATACAGACGCCCCCCAGGTTACGGAAACCCAACTTACGCAAATCCGCACTTATGGAAAAAGTTCTGTAAGCTAGAAATAGGAGTGTGGGTGGCTTTTGGGGTTTTTTTGCGTAATTGTCGGGTATACGTTTCCGACTTGTGCAAAATTCGAGTTACACGAGCGTCTGTAGTCAAATGAAATGATAAATTTGGAATTGGTGAAAACATGTTTATATAACGTCACTCGGTTAAAGACAATCTTATTTCTGCCTCACTTGTTTAGAGATAATATTGTGGATGCTTTGCTGGAGGTCAGAACAAATAATAAAGGTTTCCTAAGTGGCTTGTCTATTAATGTTATTGTGGAAATGGCTTCCTCTGTTCTGAAGAAATCTGCATCCAAATGTGAGGAAAAAGTAGCATAAACAGGTGAGCATTCTAGTGCAGAAAGAAAAATACTTTGAAATAGAAAATGTATTGTTTGTATGGCTGTATAACGTAGCTATATGTATAGCCTAGTAAATAACTCTTTGTGCTTTGATTACCACACATGTGCTTCATTGCCAGTGGGGAGTGCACTGAAAGAATTGTCACTGAAGAAGAATTAACTTCTTTTGGAATAGTTGTGTGATGAGCACTTACAGTTTTTAATGTTTACCAAGTTAAATTGCTAACTCTATCAGATATAAATCTCACTGTGTAAAATTTGGCATACTTGGGATGATATTATCCAAGTTGTTTCAGAATTTCTGCTGATTTCACAACAGAAAGGTTAAATCTCCATTAACATTACTGTACATATAGATGGTGCTGCATTTACAAAAAATTTCCAGACAAAAGTGACATCTAATGGCCTGTTCTTTTAACAGAAATAGATATAGATAGTCCAGAGAATATATACTGGATCCAGTTTTGTATTAAAGGTTGACAGACCAAGTTCTGTTAAACATGAGGATTGGATGGGTGATTTGCCTATCTTGGTCATTTGGGGAGGAGGGGATTTATTTGATGGGATTCTGTGGATTTTGGTTTTTTTTAAGGAACTCAGATTGATCCTTCTTTCTGCAGCCCTGCATCTCCCACAGTTCTTGACATCTGGGCTGCTCTGTTCACTTTGCAGCTCACAGAGGCCGATCAACTTTTTGGCACTTCCAGTCTGACTGCTGCTTCTTTGCTCCCACTCCAGGCCAATTTTTCTCCTTCTGAAGCAGAGTGTGGATTGCTGTTTTAGTGATCCCGCCTTCTCATCTGCCTAATGGGGGGGGGGGGGGGGGGCGTCGTCAAAATTTGGGGAAGTGGGGAGCGTTGATCTCTCTCCTAGCCCCTCTTCTCCCCTCTTGGTTAGTTTTTTGGCTGGGTGTTTGAATGCTCCCACTCCAGAGCCTTCACTGCAGGCCTCCCTGCTGGTTCCTCTGCACCTTCCAGTTATGGCAGAGCAGCCTAAAAAGCACTGAATGAAAAGCCCAATAGTTTTCCATCTGTGAGACAGCCACCCTAGGATCGGCAGACAGTTTGTTATGCCCAGTCTTCCATTGCTAACTGTTAGGTCCCAGGCCTGAGTTAGACAGGCATGTAAAATCCCCTACCCACCAGAGCAGCCCTGACTCTAATGTATATGGGAAATTGGACCAGGAATCGATAGCAGAGCAGGGCAAGGCTCCAAGGATGAGGACTCCGGTCAACTGACTTGGGATAAATCCCAAGGGGTCCCTGGAAAACAGAGGGTAGACTTGCAGGGTCACAAGTCCCCCAAGTCCTAAAATATGTCCTAAGCACCATGGGAAAAGAAGCGGGGCTGGGTTGGAAACCTTTGTCGAAACCCTTTTGGAGAAAACCCAAGTTCGCCAGAATTCCTGGATTTCTGGGTTTTGTCTTGTGTTCCTGGCGCCATCTGCAGAACTTGGTCCAGACCAGAGGCGCTGATTTTGTGAGTTCCCTGAGGGGTGGCACCAGGCCCCGCCCCCACTCCACCCCAACCCCCCACCCCTGCCTCTTCCTGCCCCCACTCCTCCCCCTGGCCCTCTCCCATTTGGTCAGGAGGGCTCTGGAAATATTTTCCCTCACCACTCTCTGGGGTAATGGGACCCATCAGGCAAGGACTCAGAAAGAAATCTTGTCAGAGGACTTAAGGTCCACAGCATGACTAGCTGCAAAAGGCCTCACCAAAGTGCAACAGAGCTCATATGCTACGTGAGCTAAAAAAGTGAAAAAAGCAAAGCAAAAAAGGAAAGAGAAAGCATAAGAGATCTGGGAGATAGAAGCCCTCTGACTCCTCTTCCCCCTCTTCTATAGAGGATAGTGAATTGTTGGACTCTGACTCTGATCAAGACCAGGAAAAGACTCAGCAAAAGTTTGTTCCCCCTGAGAAATTCAAGGCCATGAGCAAAAAGGTTGTATCTACTGTTCAGATTCAACCGAAACGGAGCCCTGTGAGTAAGCCTATAAGAAAATTTCTCTTCTTGAACTGCTCCCCTGAGGCATGATTCCCCTACATCCCTCCTTCAGGGAAGTAATCAGGAATAAATGAGACAAGTCAAGCAAGGGCAAACATACTAACAAAAATGATCTTAGATTCTACAGGATCCAGCAATCAAAGGTCCAGCTTACTGAGATACATAAAGTTTTAACGCTCCCTTAGGGTTCCTGGCAAAAGATATGGTTATCCCCTCAGAAGGGGAGTTCTAGACAATACTTAGTCCTGCCTTGAGTGCAGGGGACTGGAGTAGATGACCTCTCGAGTTCCCTTCAAGTTCTCTGATTCTATGATTCTAGTCTAAGGATCCCACGGTTAGAAAAATGGAGGCCACTCTCAAAAAAGACTGAGGCCTCCTGAGCCTCCAACAGGGCATCCCTAGAGGCTGCTTGCTTTGCGAGAGCATCTCTCTCTTAGCTGAAAGATCTCAGAGCTCTCAAGGATAGAGATCACCCTGACTTCGACTCTATTTTGAAGAAAGTTTCCCGAGCAGCAGCGTTGCTGGTACCTCAGTGGCTGTGATGAGATTCTTAGCCAAAGCCAGGGCCTCCAGCTCAGTGACCAGGTACTACCTATGGCTCTGTCCCTGGAAGGTGTATAGCCACTCTAAACTGGTGCTGTTCTCCAGATTTATGGGAGTCCTGCTTTTTGGGGAGAAGCTAGACAAAGTAGTGGCAGACAGTGCTGCAAAAATCTGAACAGTTCCTCCCAATACCACATCATGCATTTAAGAAAGAGTACAGATAGGCCTTCAGACAAAGATGTTCCAGATGGAGACCCTAACCTCTACGGTGTCATCCCTGTTCCAGAGTACTTTCTGACTTGAGGGATCTGGTGAATGCATACCTCCACATCCTGATGAGATCGTGCTATTGCAGGTTCCTACACTTTGCATATGGTAGGGAGCATTATCATTATGTGTTGCTCTTATGGCCTATCCTGGCCCCCTTTGGTCTTTACAAAGATCTTGGTTTTGCAGTCATAGCCAGACTCGTCACAGGGGACCACATGTACCCCTTGTTGGACAATATTTTAATCACAGCTCCATCTCTGACGACAGGACAAAGAGCCATGTCCCTGACTTTAAACCTCCTGCTGGCACCCAGCTTTACTGTCAGTATCGAGAAAAGCTCCTGAGTTCCGTCCACCAAAATAACCCACTTGAGAGTGGACATAGACACCTCTATAGCAAGGATACCCATGTCTGAAAAGGTTCCAGAAGATTCAGGACCGTCTCATATTGTTTCAGAGCTGCAAGAACCCTACCATAGCACTTAAGCTTCAACAGTTACGCCTCCTAGTTTTGTGCATATGGATCACTCCATCGGTACAGTCACACATCAGGCACCTTCAGGCCTTCATCCTGAAAGTATGGGACCACTGCCTGGAATGCATGAAGGATCAAATAAAGGTTCTGGTGCAGGTGATAGACTCCTTGAAATGGGGGTGACCCCAGGGCAGTGTCCGCAAGGGCATTCTGCTTTCCTGTTCCGCACAACTGATCCCAGCCTGAAGGTCTGGGGAACACACAGCTCAAGGCACCTGGAAGAAAGGACTCAGCATAGACATTCTAGAACTAAGAGCAGTCATGCTTGTGCTATGAAGATTATAGTCCATCTTAGAGGGGAACCATATCCTTAGTCAAACAACGTGATCACAGTCACATGTATGAACAACCAAGGAGGAAAAAGAACCCTAGTGTTACACACCAAAGCAATGGAAATCATGAAGTGGGCAGAACCTTCTTCTCCATCAGGGCAGTTCACACAAAGGGAGACCTGAACCAGAAGGGGTGGAGTGGCTCAGCAGGCGCAAGGTGAACAACTCTGTCGTGCCTGAATCAGGAAGCCTTTGAATTGATCATTGAATCAGGAAGCCTGCGCTCATGTGATCGGTTTGCAAACCACATGAACACCAAGAGACCAACATACTTCACCAAGGAGATCAACATGGGAACTTTGATGCCCTATCGCAGAGATAGTAGCAAAGTCTCCTCTGAGTTTCCACCCTTCATGTTATTAAGCAAGTTAATCCGAAAAATAAAACTGGAGCAGGTGACCGTGATACTGATACTTCTCCTTGTCTGAGGAGACCTAATAGCACTGAAATTAGGATTGCCACTACAGCTCCCAAAGAGACAAAACATCCTCTCACAAGGTCGTCTTCATCCGTACCCAAACTGGTTGTATTTAACAGCCTGACTATTGAAAGTGAAGCGCTAGTATCATTGGGCCTTTCTTCGAGAGTCATCAGGACACTTTTCTTCCAGAAGAGCATCGAATTTGAAAGCATACCCCTCTCTCTGTACCATGGGCGCTGATTCTGTGGGGCTCCGGGGCTTGAGCACCCACGGGAAAAAAATATTGGGTGCTCAGCACCCACCGGCCCCATGGATTAGCTCCTCCCCCTCCCTCCCAGCGCCTCCCGCCCGCCGCGATCAGCTGTTCAGTGGCAGGCAGGAGGCGCTGGGGCAGAGGGGGAGGAGTGGGGGCAGGAAGAGGCAGGGGTGGGGGGTTGGGGTGGAGTGGGGGCGGGGCCTGGTGCCACCCCTCAGGGAACTCACAAAATCAGCGCCTCTGGTCTGGACCAAGTTCTGCAGATGGCGCCAGGAACACAAGACAAAACCCAGAAATCCAGGAATTCTGGCTAACTTGGGTTTTCTCCAAAAGGGTTTCGACAAAGGTTTCCAACCCAGCATCAGCGCATGCTGGATGTCTGCCCTTAGTAGATTGATATTCAAAGGACCCACAGGTTCATTGGCAGAGAGCCCCCAGGTAGCCAGATTCCTTAGGACAGTCTGATTAGGCAAGCTAGTGATCAGGCCTTTTTTTCTCAAATGGAACCTCCTACTTGTACTGAGGGCCCTGATAAACCATCCTTCACGCCACTAATGTCTGTGTCAGCATTTTTTGTCCATCAAGACTTTGTTCATAAAGTGAGTGTCAGAACTGGCAACCCTTTCTATGCAGGAGCCTTACTTCTTGCTTCATGAGGACAAAGTGGTGATCAGGATTCCAGAATCATTTATTCCAAAGGTGAGCTCTTCTTTCCATGCATCCCAAGGGGTGATTCTCCTTTCATTTTCACCAAGGTCGCAGCATCCTATCAAGGAAATTTGGCACATCTTAGATGTTAAAAAGGCCCTGAAAATCTACATCAAACGTACAGGGTCTGTGAAGAGAATGGAGTGCCCGACTTGTATCTTTCTACATGAAATGCCAAGAACTCAGAGCATCCAACTTCTTTCTCACTAGTGTTATTAGACTATGCATTGTGGAACGGAAGTGTACAAAGCATTGGAGAGTCTGGCTCCAGCAGGGGTCAGGGTACACTATAAGTGATCCCTCATGATCTTATGGGCAGAAAGAGCTAGTGCATCCATACTGGAAATTTGTAAGGTGGCTACCTGATCAACTGCTACTATCTTTATCAAACACTACAAGGTGGACTTCCTGTCGTTGGCCTTGGCATCCTGTGGCAGGAAGGTCCTGCAAGCAGTATCCCGGAAATGATTTTGCACTTCGAGCAAATGTTGTAAATAGGAATGGATACTGTTTTTCTAGTCCTCTGACCTTATCCTTTACTCTCCCTACATCTCTTCACTGCTCGCTACTTCCCAGACACCAAGAATGGTGGGAGACGCAGGGCGGCAGAACGGAAAATTTCTTATAATTTCCTTTCTGCTAACAGCATTTCCCACACTTATACCCACACTAAATGACTCAAGGGCCAGAAGGTCAGGTGCTGAGAGGGATCTTTACCATGAGATGGTGTTTTCTGTTTTGGTCCACTGTATATAACAGGCAGTTAAGTATTTCATACTAATACTGTTATACATGTTTTTGCAGTTTTGGAATAACTCATCTGTCCATAAGCAGGAGCAAAGGGAGCATGGCCAGAGCGCAGCTCCAAAAAGTTGATCTGCCTCTGTGAACTGCAAAGTGAGTAGAGCAGCCCAGATGTCAAAAATTGTGGGAGATGCTGCTAGCGGAAAGGAAATTATTGGTAAGAAATTCTCCCTGATTCCGGGTATGTGATCCACCCAGGTCGTCTCCTGCATGATCATAGGGAGCAAGCCTGCTGGGACAGCAGTGGCTGCTCTAGAAAGCTGCAGCAACCATAAGACGACTAGAGGGTGACAAGCAGAGAAAAGTGCACTCTGTGCCTCCTTCCCCCTCCCTCTAAAAGATAGGCTACAGCTTAGAGAAGGAACACTCTGCAGGAGGGAAGACAGCAAGAAGCCTGGGAAGAAAATTGGGGGTTGGGAAGGAGCTCTTGTGACATCTTTCATTGGAAATGGGGCTAGCCCTGGAAACAGTGGCACTGACCTCCCTACTGCTGATGCTGCAGAGCTGCCAGTGGCCCCACTGAACTTCCCCCATGCCCCAGCATTTTGAGCTGCCTTATGGAAGGGAGGAGATATGTGGGGTGAGTTCCCCCCCACGTATGCAGGACCCGTCTCTCAGAGGGTTCATACAGCCCAGCCGAGGAGAGGCTTTGGGTGTGGAGGGACTTCACAGTGTACATTTCCATTTGCTATGACATAAGTATAGTGGGCTTCCTTTGAGAACAGTGTGCATGCACACCATCTCCTCCATTATTTGCTGTTTGTCCACCTATGCCTAGAGTCACCGTACCCTCCACTATAGGGTGTTACGAGTTCTCTTTCTCAGTCCCCCAGCTCTTTCCTATTACAGTGCGTGGGATGTTTCTTGCACTTTCTCCCACACGCCCAGAACTGGTTCAGGGACAGGGGGATCTGTCCAGCCCCATCACGTCTATTCTCTTGTGGTGTTTCCTCCCCTAAGCTGCACAAGATCGTTTATTTGGCGGGGGGCATTCTGCTCCTCAGTAAATTTTTAATGTCTCTGCTGAAGGGCAGTTGGAAAGGTTGGTGTTTATGTAATTACAAAATAAGACCATAAGAATGGCCATCCGGGGTCAGACCAGTGGTCCATCTAGTCTAATATCCTGTGTCCCAACAGTGGCCCGTGCCAGATGCTTCAGAGGGAATCAACAGAACGGGACAATTATCGAGTGTCCCACCCCCATCTTCCAGTCCCAGCTTCTGGCAGTCAGGCTTAAGGATGCCCAGAGCATGGGGTTGCATACCTGACTCTCTTGACTAATAGCCATTGATGGACCTATCCTCCATCAACTTACCTTATTCTTTTTTGAACCCTGTTATACTGTTGCCTTCATAACATCTCATGGCGACAAGTTATATAGGTGGACTGTGCATTGTGTGAAGAAGCACTTCCTTATGTATATTGTGAACCTGCTGTCTATTAATTTCATTGGGTCACCCCTAGTTCTTGTGTAATGTGAAGGGTTAAATAACATTCCTTATTCACTTTCTCCACACCATTCATGTTTTTATAGACCTGTGTCATATCCACCCTTAGTCATCTCTTTTCTAAGATATTAACAATATATATCTATAAAATTGTATATATTTTATCATCTTCCCCACCTTTCCGATGTCATTCATCATATTAGGCAAGCTCTTCAACACATATACCAACTACCTTTGTGTTTGTACAGCACATAAAATAACAGAGCCATAGACCTGAAGAGAGTCTCTGGGCACGATGCAGTATAACTACTAAATGCCACCAGCTGGCCCTGCCCTTCTGTGGTGGTGATGAATTTCGCATGGGGAAGCATTTACCTGAAAATATGGAAGAAAAGGGGAGAGGGTTAGTCAGTAGCCCCAAATGTGTGTTTAAAATTATAGATATAATTTTTAAATACACATTTTAAAGGCCAGTATTGGCAATTTGCTCATCCTGATCTTTGCTTTTAGGAAGTTACTTGAATTATGAGAACTGTGCTTTAAGCTGATTGCATATAGACAAAGAAAGAATGCTTAATATATTCAGACGTCTGTTTGATGGGGTTTTTGGAGAGGGCTAATAGTATGCTTCCCGTTACAATAAAGGGCTGGAAAGAACTCAATAGGTGTTTGGCTGGCTGAATTCCTCTTAAAGTAGTTACTTTAAAACTTCTGGGATTTTATTTATTGTGTGGTTAGGGTGCCTAGAGTCTTGGATAGTTGCCTTTTTTACTTTAAATCTAAATAAAATTAAAGATGATAAATGTGCTAACGTTTTTACAGAATGTCTAATACTTAACAAAAAATTCTTATTTTCACAGCGTTGCTAGCATGGATGCAGAAAAGACCAAGAGAACCAGTGTGGAAAAGTGCTTGTTTTTTTTAATAATTTTTAGTTTTATTTACAAAACATTTGTAATACTTGAAAGCCCTGAAATGTGTTGTGTTCAAGCAGATGAGCATTCTCAAAATACTATTTTATAAACTTTCCTTTGTAATTTTTTGGTCCACTCGTGAAAAGGTAGTCACAACAATCTGTAGCGAGATTTTGACTTTCATTGTGAGGGAGCTGGATAAAATGAAAGCAGCCTTCTGCCACTGAGGCTCTGAAGCAACCAGGTCATTAGTTGCCAATGGGGAAAAAAATAACATCTGTGTAAAAACTGTAATCTTATTAGAGCATGTTAATGAGAAAAAGGTTAAAAATAACTTTAAGAAAAGTTTGCTCTTGTTAGTTTGTTTATAGATATTCCAGTATGTGCTTTCAAATTTCCTGTGGATGAACATCCTTTGAGGAAATACCTTTTGAGTAACTTAGTCAGTCCTGGAAGCTGGTGTAACATCTAAATGTATTTTGCAGCATATTATGTTTAACACTGTAGTGTGAAACAAATGTGATGTCACAGGTCTTCCATACAGCAAGTTACCAGTGTTTGTTTTGCAGGAGAGCGCGATATAAATATTAGTTGTAGATTTTGGTTTCACAAACTCATATTTAGACTTCTAAAAAATAAATGTTTGTAAATGTTGCATATGGTCTTTATTTCTTAATTTTGAGGTTATATTTTAAAATTTTCATAGATGAAAAATGTAGTGCAATAGAAAAATGACACTGAGGTTTTTGTATTGCCAACATGTAGCACAGTGTAAAGGCATCAGGCCAACTTCTAGTTTTTGAAGTGCTGCATAAAGATTGTGGCAGTTCATTATAAAGCTGTTAAAACTCAGAATTTCCACTTCAGGGGAAATTTCAACATTTTAGAATTTCCCACAAAACAGAATTTCCAAAAAAATTCTGTTTCAGTATTGTGAAATTTGCTTCAAATTTTATTGTATGGGTCTTTTCATTTATATATTTTATATTATTTCATAACATGTCAGAAGTATTAGTACATACTACATATATGTCATAATGTCAGAGGTAATGTAATAGTTGAAAAAAACTATTTTCATTTTATTTTTAAAATCAAAGGCACCTGTTACTTAGTACTAATTGAAATGTCATCTTCTCCAGATCAGAGTGCCTCCTGTGTGTGTTTTAATAAAACAAATTGATGACAATGTTTGTAAAAATCAACATTTTTCAAAATATTATGATTTCAATGAAAATGGCATTTGTCTGCCAAAAAAAAAGTGTAACTAAAAGTTTCTGACCAGCTCTACTTCATTATTTAACAATAGAACAGTTAAGCATTTGTAAACAAAAATAGGTGAACTTAGACCCTGATTCAGCAAGGTACTTCAGCACATGCCTAACGTTAAGCATGCAAGTAGTCCCAGAGTTAGGCAAATCCTGTTACACCATTGAGTTCAAATGCCGATCTTACTGTTACACTTGTCCATGCAACCCCACTGAGGGCAGGATTTGATTGGATTTTAGTTGATCATTCTGGGATCTAATCCAGCTCTGTTATGTAGCTGTGTTGAATCTGCAGGGCTCCTAGGAGTAAAAATGCATGGTTAAATACTAAACGCAGGTATGACTAAGAGTACAGGATATATTGGATGTGTGCCATTTTTACACAGTCACTTCTCAGGGTAGAGCGCCACCAAATGTCAATAGGAGTAATTTGTGGTGTACTTGAAGAAAGCACTGAGCTCAAGATTAACCCCCACACCCATCAGGCTCTTGCCTACCTTTAATTACTAGTGAGCCTGCTGTGGATTGAGCCTTGTTAGCTCATTAGTAGTCCACCACTAATCACCTTATTTTAAAAAATGGTATTTCCAGATAAGGATGGGCTTAAGTATATTATGCAGGTGAAGCCACTTAACTTTGCAGGAGGTAATAGAGTCAAGGTAATAAATTAATCAATTGTAACATCTTTTATAGTCCTTTATCCAAAGTTTTAGTACTGAAGGATTAATGTATCAAAATCATACCTAAAGTCTTAAGGAAATGCAGTTGCCCTAATGAAAAGGTAAGAGGATTATCAGAGGCTTTTTATCTACATGAGTGAAGCCTGCCTTCCTTACCATTTCAACTGGCCACCAATATTTTTTTTTCTTCTTTCCTCCCCTCTTTTTTGAAGTCTGTCCCTAATGGCTGCCATCCTTCCTTAAGCCTAAGGCAGTGGGGCCCAACATTAAGCAGGAGGTCCACATAAACCTAAGCACAACCTTGTGTGGACCAAACATGATGACAAAACACTGAGTCAGCCGTTAGTATATTGTGTTAAAGCAGGCTGCGGGCCTTATGAAATGCTCTAGTGGGCCGTGTGCGGCAGGGGCCATAGGTTGGGCACTCCAGCCCAGGGAAGATGAAGCAGTTCTGTCCTATTGAGATAGAGCACTTTGGCCTGTAATGGGGTATAGGTTCTGGATCCCTTCCAGGTGTAAGTCTGATCCAAAGATTGCTGCAGTCAATGGAAAAATTCTCTTGACATCAATTGGATGATAGACCCCCAATAGTTATTCAATAAGAGAGACCCAACAATTTGTGGTTGTGGTGGGAATTCCCTGTAAGGTGGAGCACTGACTACTCTCGGAAACCTCAAAAATGACAGCTGTAAGGTTGAGTGTTGTGTGACCTTATTTACTGGTTCCAAGCTAGCAGATCTCCTCATATTACAACAGATGGCAGCAGAGCAAAGGATTTTGCTGCCCAAAATAAATTGGAGATCTTTCCAAGCATCTAACTTTTCTTTTTCCTAAATGAGTGAAACTATGAATATGCTATTTTTGTGGACATATATTCAGTGTTACCAAAGGCTCTTAAGCAAAGTAAGCTGGCGTGGGAAAAGAGGAAAGGCCCTCTCATGGATCAGTAACTGGTTAAAAGATAGGAAACAATGGGTAGGAATAAATGGTCAGTTTTCAGAATAGAGAGAGGTAAATTATGGTGTACCCTAGGGCTCTGTACTGGGACCAGTGCTGTTCAGTGATCTGGAAAAAGGGGTAAACAATGAGGTGGCAAAATTTGTAGATGATACAAAACTACTCAACATAGTTAAGTCCAAAGCAGACTGTGAAGAGTTAGAAAGGGATCTCACAAAATTGGGTGACTGGGCAACAAAATGGCAGATGAAATTCCATGTTGATAAATGCAAAGTAATGCACATTTGAAAACAATCCCAACTATATGTATAAAATGATGGGGGTCTAAATTAGCTGTTACCACTCAAGAAAGAGATGTTGGCGTCATTGTGGACAGTTCTCTGAAAACATCCGCTCAATGTGCAGTGGCAGTCAAAAAAACAAACAGAATGTTGGGAATCATTAGGAAAGAGGTAGATAAGACAAAATATATTGTATCTGTATAAATCCATGGTACGCCCACATCTTGAATACTGCTTGCAGATCTGGTCGCCCCATCTCAAGAGAGATGTATTGGAATTGGAAAATGTTGAGAAAAGGGCAACAAAAATTATTAGAGGTATGGAACAGCATCCATGTGAGGAAATATTAGTAAAACTGGGACTTTTCAGCTTGGAAAAGAGACAAGTAAGGGTGGATATGATAGAGGTCTGTAAAATCATGACTGCTATGGAGAAAGTAAATAAGGAAGTGTTATTTACTCATAAGACAAGAACTAGGGGTTGCCAGATGAAATTAATAGACAGCAGGTTTAAAACAAACAAAAGGAAGTATTTCTTCACATAATTTACAGTCAACCTGTGGAACTCCTTGCCAGAGGAGGTTGTGAAGGCCAAGACCATAACAGGGTTCAAAAAAGAACTAGGCAAGTTCATGGAGGATAGCACCATCAATACCTATTAGCCAGAATAGGCAGGGGCGGTGTCCCTAGCCTCTGTTTTACCAGAAGCTGGGAATGGGTGACAGCTGATGGATCACTTGATTACCTGATCTGTTCATTCCCTCTGGGGCAGCTGGAATTGGCCACTGTCGGAAGACAGGATACTAGGCTAGATGCACCTTTGGTCTGACCCAGTATGGCTGTTCTCATCTTATGTCACCTACCCTCAAGAACAGTTACCGTTTTCACTTGAGGCCAGATAAGACATATTTCAATTGAATCAAGGAGACTATCAGATATTAAAGCCACTATACATGAATATAATTTAGTGACAATGTTTTGCCTATCTTTTTGTTAAACATGCGGTGGTCTTTGGTTTAAACATTTACCACAAGAGCTCTTCCTTAAGCGGACTATAAATGTTAAATTACAATTTTAAATGTTCTAACAGTGGAGGACAACTCCAATGCACCATCAGCCTTTACCACCTGGAGGAGCTATGCTACATTTTGTGATTTTTTTAAAAAAAAAATTGATTTTTTTCACAAAAATGGAAAGGACAAAAAAGTAAATGATTTACAGCATGTACATGAACACCAGAGTTATGAACGGATCAGTCAACCACACACTTCATTTGGAACCAGAAGTTGACAATCACATGCTTCAGAAGGTCTCAAATGGAATTATGCGGTTTTTTAGCTCCTCAAAGCTACACGACCAAACAGTACTTCATAGACATAACATCTTAAGGTACCCGCCTTTCTTTTACACAAATGCAAAGGGTATGTAATTTTTAATTATTTATGGACATGATGTAGCCATCAGGATTTATGCAGGAGGACTCTGTTGAGTCACCGGGCTGGGTTCTACTTAAAAGCGGGATGAGACCGTATGGCCCAATGATTTTAGGTGCAAGAATTCAGTTGTGGTGGCCGAATCATGGTCAGTTAGTTAGTTACTCGCTAAGGGACAATATTGAATGTGTGCCGCGAGTTTTACACCGCTATTTAAAAAGTGTAGCGATGCTCTGGACCTTTATAATAATAGACGGGGAAAAGTGGCATGCCCTTGGGCCGGTCCCTTTAAAGCTAACATGCGTGAAATTATTATTAGGGAAAGTTATTGACGGTAATGATTAGATACCCGGAAACCCTCAAACACGTGGGGAGGCGGTAAAACCACAGCTGCAAAGTGGCCCTTTCACCTGGGTGCATTTGCAGTGTCCCCGTGGCGAACGAGGGCAGTTTGTACAGGCAGGATCACGTTCCCACGTATTAAAAGGAACCAGTTTCCTAAATGTGGCTCCATGGCAGCCATCCAGCCCTGTGCTTTGCCGGGTTTCCCTTCCCCGTAGCGTTGTGTACCTGCCTATCAGTCCCTCTCCTTGTGACGCCTGACCCCCTGCTTTTCGCCTGCC